AAAATGACAAAGAGACACAAAAATGCTAACGTAGATGCAAAATGGCCAATATGAGACAAAGAAAATGATCACAATGAGACTTAAAACAACCAAATTATGGCACAAAATGGCTCAAATATGACATAAAGAGACCACATGGGGATGCAAAATGGTCATAAAGAAGACAGGACATCAACAAAGAGCCGCAAATGGATCAGAAAATGACACAAAATGACCAAACTAGTACCAAAAAAACCCATAAATTTCCACTGAGAGACATAAAAAAAGCTTTATAAAGATGCAAAATGACCGAAATGTGACACAAATTGATCACAGAGAGACAGAACAACTAGAAAGAGATGCACAGTAACACAAATGAGACACAAAACAACATCAACAAGATGCAAAATAATCAAAATGAGACAAAAAAAACAACCACAAAGAGACACAAAACAACACAAAACAACCACAAAGAGACTCAAAAGGATCAACATGAGACAAAATCACCATGAAGAGGCAAAGAATGGACACAAAAAGACACAGAACAGTTATAAAGAGACGCAAAAGGACCAAATTAGACAAAAAAATAACACAAGGAGATGCAAAATGATCAAAATAAGGCACAAAATGGCTCAGACGTGACATAAAATGACCACGTGGGGATGCAAAATAGTCATAAAAAGACGGACCATCTTCAAATGACACAAAATAATCAAACTAGCACCAAAAAAACACCACAAATTTCCACAAAGAGACATGGAAAAGCTTTCTAAAGATGCAAAATCACCAAAATGTTACATAAAATTACTAAAAACAGACAAAGAAAGGTTAAAAAAAATATATAAAATGACTCAAATGCGAAACAAAATGACCTTCAGGAGACACAGAAAGGCTAAAATAAGATGCAAGATGACGAAAATGTGACGCAAATGAGCAAAATGGCACAAAAACAAACAGAAGACCCACAAAGAGACCAACAATAACCAACATGAGGCTCAGAATGACGACAGAGAGACGCTGAAGGACCAAAACTGGACAAAAACTATGACAAAGAGACAGAAAATGACACAAATGATGCAGTAAATCTCGTCTGTCCACATACTTGTGACCATAAATCATCTGTTTCAGGCTCAGTCCTGAAGTTGGATTTCACTTGTGTGTGTTGTGTTGTGTTGTGTTGTGTTGTGTTGTGTTGTGTTGTGTTGTGTTGTGTTGTGTTGTGTTGTGTTGTGTTAAGCTCTTGGCGTTCTTCCTTCTGAGCCTTTTTCAGGCTCCTGGCGTCGGTCCTCGCCGCGGTTTATTTTCTGCAGCCTCCGCCCGTCCAGCTTGTGTCTTCGTCAGACTTTGGATCAAACCGCCGCCAAACCCAGTGATGCAACTGTGTCTGTCTGCAGCAGGCTCAACAACAACGAGAGGAAACCGCACTTTCAAAACCCGCCATTACGAGTTAAAGTCTTACATTTAAAGTCCCGATTGAATAAAACTACACAGAAGACATCGCACAGGTAGAAAGACATGCAAAATGTCCAAAATGTGACGCTAAAAAGAAGCAAAGAGACCAAAATAAGATGCAAAATGGTTGAAAAAGAGACAAAAAAACTGTAAAGAGAACCAAAACAAGTAAAATGACGCACAAAATGTAAGAAATAACCTCAGAGAAACACAGAAAGACAACAAAAAGAAATGCAAAATGACCAAATTGTGACACAAAATGACCTTAAAGAGACGCAGAAAGCTTAAAATAGATGCAAAATATGACAGAAAGTGATCCCAAAAAGACCACAAAGAGTCCTGAAGCTGCACAGATATCATCAGCATTAAGCACTTTTCAGTTATTACACTCATACTGATGCAATAAGCAGCATTTTAAAGTTGGTGTTGTCGCTGCTGGAGGTGGAGACGACTCTTTAAATCCAGTTAGCTTAATCCATTGATTAGCAACTGAACAGTCGGAGCCCTGCAGGAGGTCACAGGATCAATCTGGAGGGTCATTAGATGATTGATTGATTGATTGATTGATTGATTGATGGATGGATTGGAAAACAAATCACTGCAACATGCATTTCTGTAATTTCAGGAGCTTTTTTTCCTCCAAATCTCACAACATAAGGTAAAACCAACAAAAAAACATCATATGCTTGAGGTAGAACTATAGATTTGTGGCCACAATCAGAAACTGTTGACCAGCTTTCTGCTTTATTCTGTTTTACAGGCTGTTCACTGCTACTCAGGACAATAAAACCTGAAACTGGAACAACAACACCCAACCAAACCCAGCTCCTTAATTGGTAATCGAGGTGAGGTTGCTCTACCTGTATGCTCATACTGGCTTCCTCATGATTTCAGTCCATCTTTTTGATTGTGAAAAAGTTTTTAGTTTGTTGTTTTTGTTAATTGTAACAACTACGGAAAATTTGGATTTAAATTTGTTTATTTACTTCATCCTGCATACTGCATCCCCTTCTTGACTTGAAATTTTTGTCATTTATTTTCTTGGTTTGATGTTATATTCATGCCATTTTATAGCAGACTGAAATGAAATCAACCATTAATAAGTTATTATTATTGTTGTTGTTGTTGATGGAACATTTGTAAGCAATTACAGTAATTCATTATTTCATTTTTCTTGGACTTTTGTGTTTATTTTTTTTATATTATTATTATTAGTTGTTTTTTTCTTCTTCTTCTTCTTCTTCTTCTTGTTATTATTATTATTGTTATTATTATTATCATCATCATCATCATAATCATCACTATTATTATTGTTTGTTTGTTTGTTTATTGTTGTATTTATTTATGTTTAATGAGTGACCTTTGCACATGTACCACCAGGCAGACCCCCGTCACAGTTTGAATTAAAGCCAACACCGGATTGGTCAATCTGTTCCACGCTGGACGAAACGAACGACGGGATTGGTCAGTTTTTTCCACGTCTTTACATAAGAAGGGGGCGGGACGGAGCCGAGCCCGTCAATGGGCGGCCTCTGCGATTGGCCAGTAGTAAAATGACGTCACTGTTCTCGGCGCGGACGGCCTCGCCAGCCAATGCTGTGGGGTCTATTCCTGGAAGGGGCGAGGCCTCTCGGCATTCTTTAGAAGCCGGCCGGCGTTTCCTTACCGGCATTTCAGTATTAACGCGCGACCGGGGACACAACTCGGTGTGATATTTATTTATTATTTATTGTAGTTTCTTTTTTAATTTACCATGCTTGGTTTGTGCCTTTACGTCCCCGTGTCCAACTCGGACCCGGTCGAAGTGGAATATTTCGAGTCTAACGGCCTGCCGTCGGAGCTGAAGTCGCTCTTTAACAAACTGAGCGTGTTTCTTCCGTCCCAGGAGTTTTCAACCTACCAAAGATGGCGAAAGGTGAGTAAAAACAAATAAAAATCACTGGAACTTAATTGTTTTTTAATGTATGTGTCAAACTTGAACCTACTTAGCGGTTGCAGTCACCTACTTATTTTAATACAATCAGTTTAAGCTTCAGTAAATCCTTATCTATTCCGGCCGCCGGAAAGGATTAGCATTAGCATAGAAAGCCTTACGAGTAGGCCGCGAAACTGAGCGGTTGCTGGAAAATTCGCCGCGAAAGCATTTTTATGATAATTTTATCTACATATTCTTTAGTATAACTTTGCATACTATGTCAAATTGGCTATGGGAGCTGTATAAAGTAATCACTAGTCGTTCACTTGTTAAAGACAACATGAATTTTAGAAACTGAAATGAACCGCAGCCGGCATTCATTCATGTCACATGGGGGGAAAAGGGGGATGCATGCTTTTTGCAGGGAAATTTCACCATGGTTCATGAAAAGTCGTCCTTTAATCAAAATTCATATTCAGACATTGCACCACTTTGTATTTGCAAAATGTGCGAAATATGCGTTTAACTAATTTAATATGCATTGATTTATTGCATTTATTTTAATAGCTAAGTTGCTCTGCTTATTATTTTTTCCTTAAACTGTGTCTTAATCTGTAAGTTTAACCTCTGTTGAGGTTTTGTTGTTACTTGAACGTGCATGTCACTCTGAAGTGCCAAGACATGACTTATAAAGTGAATTGGTGCAATATAAGTATCATTTGAATGAAAAGAAAATGAGCTGTATTGTCCTGTGAATGCAAACTTTTATTACTATGCAATAAATTTCATAGCCACCGCTACCCCTGATGTTAGATTTTATTATATTTAGAATTCTATTTGTGTCTGTTTGTAAGGCACCTGTGTGAAGCCGTGATTTAATGTCATTGCATTTTTTTCCCCACAATACACTGACAATGCAGGCGTTGTCTTCTATTGTAAAACGGCATGCACATTCCTGAAACCAGATAATGACAGGCTGAACTTTTGTGCTGCCTGGACTGTGACTCATGGTCCATCTGCAATTAGATGAAGGCTGACCTTTTACTGACGTGTCACATTATTCATTTCTTTCATTCAATGTGAGATTATTCAGTAAATGATTTATTTGCATTGGCCAGAAGTTTGCCTCCCGGAAAAGGCCAAAATGTCTAATTCGTTGTCAGAAGAGCAGCTGCACCGGTTTATGTCTATGTTTATGTTGTGCTAGACTTTTAGGAAAAGGGCAGCACAAGACCCGACCTTGTGTCCCATGATACCGAAATAGCAGAGTGTAAATTCTTAAAAGTGGTGCCTGGACATTCCCTGCTCACTGTGCTATAAGTCACATTGATGCACTTGTGCAGGTAGTTTAATATGAGCTGCAGGAGAGAACAGAAATGTTCCTGCAGAGTAGCGTTACACTGTGACCGTCACATGCCTGCGCTGTGGGCAGCAGGTCAGGTATCGGTGCTGGCCAGCAGGTTGGAGGGCAGCCAGTGTCCCTGTCTTGTTTTAGATCAGGAGGTTCAGGCTCAGACTGGATTAAAACGGTTGGCGGGTCAGTGCAGGGGAAAAAAGACGTCATGTGTCATTCAAGAAAGCCGCCGCAACTTTGGCAAATGGGTCACGATGGTGTCCTCTGGGATCTTTAAATACGAGCCTGGGGGCCACCGTTGAATATCAAGTGTCAGGTTCAGATCTGGACTTTAGCTAGCCCATTTGGATAATCACTTGTAAGGCATAGGGTACATTTTGAACTTGCTGTACTTGTTTCATAAGTAACAGTTGCTGTGTGTGGATGTGTTGGGGCACATGACTCCTCTGCATACCGCAGCAGGATTTTATCGACACCCCAAACTGTGCAAAAACGGCTCCAATAAAATTTAGTTCTCACTCTCTCAGCAGCCCTAATTACTTAAAATCTTCTCTGCCTTCTTATCTGACCCGAGTGACATAATATCTTGTCTCACTGAGTCTTTTTTTTTTCCTCCCTTCCAGAAAACCTTTAAAAGTGAAGAAAATGACTCAGACGGCCAGCTGGACTTTGAGGAGTTTGTTCACTATCTGCAAGACTATGAGAAAGACCTGAAGCTTGTGGTGAAGAGTCTCGACAAGAAAAATGCGGGTATGAAATCAAAACCTTGTGGTTTCATCTTTTTGTTTCATTTTGTGTCATTAGTGCAGCTGCAGTGTGAAATGTGTCCTCACAAAATGTGTTATTTGTTTCCTTTTAAGGACGCGTTGATCCCAAAGAGTTCATACAGTCCCTCCGTGACCTTGGCGTTCATATTTCCCAGCAGCAAGCCGAAAAAGCCCTTAAGAGGTAATTTCATTCATCCATTTAATCCACTGGAATCTTGGAATTTATTTATTTTTTTGGGATTAAGGGGCTCAGTATCTTACATTTGTTTCCGTCTTCTTTTTTCTTACAGCATGGATAAGAATGGAATGATAACAATTAGCAGCAAAGACTGGAGCAACTACCCCATGGTGGAGAAGACCGAGAACATTCCTGAGATTATCCTGTACTGGAAGCACTCCACGGTTAGTTCTATATTCTGCACTGAAACACACACAAATTCTGCCTAAAAGGGAACGAATAGGGCTCCAACAATGGTACCCTTTCAATATCAGAGCCCAAATCAGGAAGCTCTGAATCATTGAAGGAAAACAGTGTCAGATAAATGTCCAGGTGCCCTATTTCACTCAGTCTTAGGGGTGATAACTGTATCAGTACAGTTGATAACGGTTGCACCTTCTTCTGCCTCGAGTAAACGGGTCAATTTCAATTCCCTGAAAGGCTTCATCGGCACAAGTCGTGCGTCAGCAATTAAGCCCTATTAGGCCATGAAAGGAACTGGGTCCATTCATGGCAGGATTAAGCTGAAAGGATTTACCAGTTTGTCTCGCTGTTATGTAAAAGAGAGCAGCGGTCAGTCAGTCAGCCACAGCAGGTGGACACTGATGTGATACAGGACAGCTCCCGCAGGACGAAAGCTTCATCTTACAAATTATTTCAGCGCCATCTCATGACTCGGGCAGCCTCGACTCGGTGCAGATAAAACCGTGAAGGGGGTGAAGCGGGGTGAAGATTAGGGCTGAAGTTACTCCTCCTTGGAGGGTCAAAGCAAATACTCAGGGGCAGATTAATATCGAAACATACACTGCTGGATCATTCCAGTTCGCGAAAAGTCAGATGTTATAATGCTCTCTGTGGTAATGGGGTCGATGTCCACAGCAGGGCATGGGTGCAAACTGCCAAGTAGATATCATGAGGACGCCCTGCAATCGGGACAATAAATAACCGAGTCAAAGTTGTGTAATGATGCCTGAGGAAATGGGACGCATTTATATTTCGTGACTTGCACTTAAATAGCTTTTTTTATAGTGATAAGTGTGGATTTGTGCCCGTAATGTGCTTCTTTTTTTCTTTGAGTAAAAATTCAGGCTCCAGTTAAAGAGGACAGGAGTTGACACAGATCATTTCTAAACAGACCTTCACCCAGAATCAATGAGCTGATTATCACGCTGTAGTCAATTAAATCTTGACCCAGACTGCAGTGGCCGTGAAAAACAAACCAGGCGTTCGCCGACGGTCACCCAGCTTGACCTTTTCGCTGAATCAGGGCAGCGATGCTTATTCTGCTGTCACACAAGACGGATGTCCAGGAGAGTCCAGCTGCAGTTTCCTGTGACACTTTACTGCCTAACTGGATATTTGGTTAAGAATAGCAGCTCTAGAGGACAACCTGAGACATACAATAAATCCATGAATTTTGATCACGTGGTGCTGACCTCTACTCTCGTCGTGATGCTTAAAAGATATTTCAGGAGGTGTTCTGACTTCTGTCTATAAGTTTAGTAGATTTTCTTTGAATCTAAATGATTTGCGTCTCTGTTCCTGGCAGATATTCGATGTGGGTGAGAACCTGATGGTCCCCGATGACTTCACCATGGAGGAGAAGCTGACCGGCATGTGGTGGAGGCACCTGGTTGCCGGTGGAGGAGCCGGAGCTGTTTCTAGGACCTGCACTGCCCCCCTGGACCGACTCAAAGTCATGATGCAGGTGAGACCCGCAGATAAAACCTCTCTGAAACTGAAAACTGGGTGGGAGGAAATGAGGAAAGAAGAATTTGCATTTCCTGGCTTTTTGTGGGAAGTTTGGGAACTGGAGCATGTGTGGTGGAAACTCTTATCATCGGCTGATGTAACTGAGCAGTCCGGTGTTTTACTGGGACACTAATGCAGGAAGAACACCTGAAGAATTAAGTCAAACAAAACCTGAGCAAGTTAGAGGTTTTTCGTAACCTGAAGTGGCACAATCGCTCAACCAAGAAGCAGGAAGTTGCTCAAGAGCGATCCGGTTGCCTCAAAGTCATAGAACAAAAAAAAGTTAACGTTTAAAAGCCGGTGTGTCAGAACTAGAGGCCAGAGTCCAGCAACCGTTCTGATTGTCAGCCAATGACGGCTCGCGATCGGCCGTCACACCCTCGCCGCTCAGCAGTCGTCAATGAGATGAAGGACTGACTGTGCCCACGTTCAGGATCTGTGTCAGTGGCCCCGGTGTGCGTCATTCTCATGTGGAAACTCGACTTTGAGCCCGATCGTTTAGCAATTATGCTCTTTGGTTATTTTCCAGGCAATTAATTAAACAGACCTGACCCAGTTGGACATGATTGTGTGTGTCCACAAGAAAAATAGTGGCCCACATGGCGCCGTGCCCGACTCATCCCCAAAATTCGGCTCTACAGATAGCTGTCATTTAATTCTTTGATGTTTTCTTCTCAGGTTTACGGATCCAGAACCAACAACATGTGCATCATGACTGGACTGATGCAGATGATCAAAGAAGGCGGCACGAGGTCGCTGTGGCGAGGGAACGGCGTGAACATCATCAAAATCGCCCCCGAGTCGGCGCTGAAGTTCATGGCTTACGAGCAGGTGTGACCCCTGGAGCGGTTTGACGAATAAATCACAGCGTACTCGATGCCATTCATCAACACTAACTTAATTGTTTCTCAATTGGCTTCCTTAGATTAAGCGTCTAATCGGCAGCGATAAGGAGACTCTGAGCATCTTGGAGAGATTTGTCGCGGGATCTTTGGCTGGAGTGATCGCTCAGAGCACCATCTACCCCATGGAGGTGATTGTCACTTTAATTAGATCCACTCTGGACGTCGGACGGCATTAGGAAGCCTTTTTATAACTCGTTCTCTTTACCTTATCTGCCCACAGGTGCTGAAAACCCGTCTGGCTCTGAGGACAACCGGTCAGTACGCCGGCATCTCAGACTGCGCCAAGCAGATTTTCAGGAGAGAAGGACTCGGAGCGTTTTATAAAGGTTACATCCCGAACATGTTGGGAATCATCCCCTATGCCGGCATCGACCTGGCAGTGTACGAGGTGAGTCCACTAAACAGAACCGCTAAACCAGACAGAATAAACCATGAAGCTTCCCCAACTGGTTACTCAGCTGGTTGCTACTTACTAAAGTCAAAGATGAGAGAATTTTGGATTTCTCTTGCTATTACTGCATAAATCTGAAAATTATGTCAACAACCAGTTTAAATAAATCAGTTTTTAGCATCTTTTTGAGTAAAATCTTCTATAAATCAGGCTGTGAATGAAAAGACAAGTTCATTAGAGTATGGACCAGAATAAAACTGGAAAGTTTGCTTTTTTCTAACTTAGATGAAGAAAAAAAATAATGTGAAGAAACCAGCCTTTTAGAAATATAGATTCTAATTTAAAGCTAAACATGCAAATTGATAAAGAGCAGTGAAGTATCCACGATGTTGTTCTTCTACTAGACTGAAAGAAAACTTGTCATGGAAGCAAAATATAGTGAAATCTCAAAACTGAATGTTCAGGTGCTGTTGAAAAGGCCTCAACTATATTAAATAACAGATTATAGTTTGATTTCTCTGACCTGTTGTTCACTTGTGTCTGCAGACTCTGAAGAACACCTACCTGCAGCAGTACGGCACCAACAGCACCGACCCGGGCGTCCTCGTCCTGCTGGCCTGCGGCACCGTCTCCAGCACCTGCGGTCAGCTCGCAAGCTACCCGCTGGCGCTGATCCGAACCCGCATGCAAGCACAAGGTGAGGCCTTGAACACCGACTGTTGTCAGCAGCAATGATTATGTAATTTTATAGGCAACAAACAGGCAGAAAATGACCCGATGCAGTCAACAGAAATGTCAAATAAGGCTGCAGTGATTCTTGTTCAACTGGTTTCACTAATTAAAAAAAAAAAGTCCAGATTGTTAAGTTTTTGACTTGTTGCTGTTTCCTGCATGACGATAACCAGGATATCTTTGGCTTGTGAACAAAATCACACCTTTAGAACGTCATCTTGGGCTTTATTGAACACAGATCGATGTTTTTCACCATCTTCTGACACTTTATCAGCCAAACAACTAACTGTTTGTTTTTTTCTGTCTATGCAGCTGCGACGGAGGGCAGCCAGCAGCAGCCGACGATGAGCGGCCTGTTCAGGCAGATCCTGCAGACTGAGGGTCCGACGGGCCTCTACAGGGGCCTCGCGCCAAACTTCCTCAAAGTGATCCCCGCCGTCAGCATCAGCTACGTGGTGTACGAACACCTGAAGACCCAGCTGGGGGTGACGTCACGCTGAAACCTGCTGCTTCGAAGCTTCGAACGCCAACACCTCAACCCCCCCCAGTTAACCCCCAGGGCTCGCGCTAGGAATCCCCGGGACCCTCCGGAGGTTCAGGAGCCACCTCATTCTGTGAATGTCAGCTGACGAAAGACGAGAAAGGACGCTGGAAAGGCCAAAGTGGAAGATATGGACTCTGTGAGCTCACGTTGTCGGGACTGCGACTGCTGCTATTTATGTTTTTAGAAGGAGCTGAGGAATGAAAATCAGGGACCAATGTTTGTCTTTTGGTTGTGTTTTTTTGCTCTTCTTGCGTCTGGGTTTTGTTTCACGACGCTGCAAAGCTTTGCTTGGTCACTTTAATGTGCGCCAGCTGCTGGAAGAGTAACTGGGCAGATCTAGCATTAACAATAAGCTTCGTTCTTCAACAGTTCTGCCTTGAAATGATTGTGTGTTTCCACAAATGAGAGGATTTTGCACATGGGTTTGATTTCTCTCCACCCCCGTCCCGGATGAATGAGTATTTATTCCCACCCGTCCTGTATTTATTTATTATTGTTTTTCTTTAGAGGAAAGAGAAGGTGGAGGTTTAGTTCATATCTGAAGAGCCATAAAGAAATTCAGGGTGCGGAGTCGACACCAGACAAAGCCTTAAAATCTGTCAAACACTAAACGTCTGGTGCAGTGTTTTGGAGACGGGGTTGGAGTTTCTGAGTCTCTGTTCATGTGTACCGAAGCCCTTGTGTGTTTTTTTAAATGTCTTTAAAGGTTCACCTCAGGTTTAAGGGCAAGATTATAGTTTAATTCACTGACAAGCACAAGTGTTGGAAAGAAAAGGGCTTCTCGAGGAGACGAGCAACATAATGCACTTTAATCAAAGCTACAAGGGCCTCGGAGCGACTGTTGTATCAGTACAGGGTGAAATTCTTTTGTAAAGAGTTTTAGTGTTATTTTAATGGACCATCTTGATGCAAATAAATGCAAATTGTTGTAAAAGATGAGTTTGTTTTTGTCGTGTTTTTGTTTTGCACAGAGTTCAAGACGTCATCAGTTTGACTTTAACCAGAAATAAATCCAGAATGGTAACTTCTCAGATCTACATAAGGACTGAATAGTTTTGCAATCTGACTCGTTTCTGGAAATAATAACATGTTTTGGGGATTGAAATGTTCCAGCGCAGCTCCAGTGATACTGCATGTGACCCAAACAGAAGTGGAATCAGACTGGGGGCTTTTTCTTCTTATGTAACGTCCACTGAGTTTTCTCATATTAGTTACACTTTGCTGGAGCCTGCTTAAGAATTCACACCATATTAAGTCCCCTGTGGAGTTTATTTACATCATAATACTATGATATTATGCAGATGGACATATTTCTCACATATTTAACTGTTAAAGGTACAAAAAGAATTAAATTAGAAGAATTAAATTAGCTGCTGCTTCTTTTTGCCATCTTAAGCTTTTATTTATGTATTTTCATAAATTTCCAGACTAATTAAGACTCTAATTTTCTGCTGTGTTGCAGTAATGAGGCCAAATTTTAACAGAACTTTTATTCTTAATGATTGTTTGGGAAACTCTAACAAACATTCCCATCTGCAGTACCGACTGTTGGACATGTGGAAAAAGAAATAACCCTAATGTAGCATTTATTTTATTAATTTTTTTTTAACTTTGTCTTATTTTTTTTAAGAGACATCAATTACCTCTTCTCTGGTTTTGTTCATGTACTCAGGTACAGTGTAGAGTAATGTGTATTTTCCATTTCCTGCTACTTTGTACTTCACTTTAATTGTGGGGCAAATATTTTATCTTTTATTCCACTGCAGTTACTTGATAATGCTGCAGATTTAGTTTTATAAAAAAAACAAAAACAAACAAACAAGCAGCAGATATAAAAGAACCTAAATCCAATTTAACAGCCTCAATATTAAAGTGATGAACACATTAATAATTATAATAATATATTACTCTGAAATATGTCATTCTGCATTATGAGTCATTTTAGTACTCTAAGTATATTAATACAAATATTTTCACCAAAAAATGAAATACATGACTTCTACTTATAAGAGAAACAGCATTTCTACACTCGAAAATCTTTTACTTTAGTATAATATCTGAGTGTTTTATTCTGAAATTGTATATGAGAAGGTAAAAAGGGTTTATTTCTTATGTTCCTTGTAAAATCAAGTAGAAATAGGTCAAAACCAGCTGCTTCAGGAACAGGATTCACTCTGCAAAACTACATAATCAAATTGAAACTATCTGCACAGTTCAGCACATGCAGAAGTAACCTGTCCTTACTGAAGTACACTTTGGATGTACTTGTACGTAGCTCATGCTTCTAAATTGAATGAAATATTGCATGTAGATGCATTTATTAGCCATAAAAGAAAATCCCTGCATGAGTTACGTAACTGATCAAACCTACACAGTTGCATAAAGCTACATATGCTGCGATTCACAGGCACGTCAGGTCATCGGAGGTCAGACAGGAGCAAAGGGCCTCTGAGGCACCTTAAAGTTTGCAGTTTTTATCTCTTTGCACAAGATAAGAAGTTAAACTTGTGAGCACATCATAGAAAAAAAAAACTTAATTTGACACTCTAAAGAGAGCATTTTGCATGAAAAAGGGGAAAAAAGTGCAAATATGTATGGCTCAAGCACAGAAGAAGTCTGTAAGAAAGACAGTAACAACAGCCAGCAAACTGTTGGGACCCACACTAGCCAGCCTAGGATGTATTCACAAAGACCGGGTCATGATACTACTGAGGCCTCCACTTGCCCCCTTCTTCAAACTGTTGCCATCTGCAAGGCGTTATTGCCCTCCTCTGTTACAAAACAAACAGGTCCAAACTGTCTTTTATGCCACAAGCCATCAAATTTTTAAATACGGACAGGAAATAAGATCCAGCCATAACGTGTGAAATGTGGAGATCTTGTTTTGAAGTGTTTGTGTTTGTGGGCTTCCTAAGTGTGAAATGCCATCTGAGTGTTTTCTGCTGCAAACTAATTTATGATAATCTATCATTTTCAGTGTTGGATTTACATATATATATATAGATATATATTTGTTTTTTTTTCTTTTTAAATGTTGACCTGATCCTTTAATGGTGCCTTAATCCTCCCCTGTATACCATGAAGAGAAGGATTTACAGGTTACATAATGGATTTACAATAGTTCTACTGTATTTCAAGCTGCTACACAATGACGTCAGTGTTGTCCTCACTGGATCGAATGAGTCTGCAAATTGAATTAAATGAACTTCAGAAAATGCGTTCTTTTGTTTCAGGTTTCCACTCAATGCTTAAAAGTGAAACTATAGTTTTTTTGGGACTTCTTGCAGTTCCTCTGCACAGTTTCTGGTAATCAGCTGTTTCCCAGAAGCGTCTAGAATCTCTTCTGCTTCTGGGTGGAGAAAGATAAAAGGCAGATTAAACTCACTGCACTTTAGCTTAACATTTTAGTCAGTATATTTCACATAATATGTATGGAAATCTATTTGATTATCATGAAATCTGTTTGTCAGTGATAACAGATATAAAGTATGTACAGTCACATTTACCCACTTGAACACTAAAATGGGAATATTTTTGCACGTTTACTTAAATTTGATTTTAACCTAAAAATTTGTTACACTTTTAATGACTTTAAAAAAATAAATAACTACATTAACATATAAACCTTTAATAACTTTAAATTTGAAGTTTATATTAGGATGATAATAGATACAAAATAGTAAATGGTGTTGTTATGGGACATCAGTTGATGTAAGATTACTACTATTATATTATTAATCAGCAATATAAACCATATTCATCCACGTATATACCGCTTAAGCCTGTGTAGGGTTGCAGATATAATATAATATAATATAATATAATATAATATAATATAATATAAATTATTACGATGAGTCGTTTGACTTTTTCCTCTTACGGGTCAAATCGCACAGTTTGTCCCACCAGGCCACCGTACCAAAACAAGGAAGTGGTGACATAAGGATGGACAGCTTAAGAAGATATGCATCCGAAAATGATTTTAAACGCGTGTTTACCACTGTTGCTTGCTCCAAATTTTCGCTTCTAAACGTTTGATAATAACACATTTTTTAAAGAACCGTTAAAAGCTATGTACATCATGTATTTGTATTTATTTTCGTAAAGCTAACCACCTTAGCTAGGCGGCTAGCTAGCTCGTTAGCATCGGTGCTAAATGAGCGATTATTGTTGTTAAAATGGTGCAGAACATGTTCCGGACCGGTTTTCTGGTTCGGGCCACACACACCCTGCTAACCTGGGTCATAACCGTCGTGCTGTTTCTGCACAACACCGGTGAGTTCATTCAAACTGGGTCAGATTCACCTGCTAGCTGCTGCAGGGAGGCTCCAGTCAGTCAGTCACTTTAGCTCAGAGTTAGGATGCTTGTAACTGAATTAGTACACATTCACGCCGCTTTCTGCTTCTACTCCACTACACCGCATTGGGAAATATAGTATTTTTTTATTTATCTATCAGCTGCAGTTACAGGTTACTTTGCAAATTCAGATTTTTGCATGCAAGACGTTTGAGGAGCTGATAAAATATGGTGACTTATGTGCTATGTACAGTTGAAACCGGACGTTTACATCCACTGTATAAAAAGACATAGACCTTTTTATTCTCACTGTCTGACATTAAATGTGACTGACCTTTTCCTGCTTTAGGTCAGTTAGTATTACCAAGATATTCACTTTATTTCCATAGAGGAGGAAAGAAACCAGAAAATATTCACATTAAAGAAGTTGGAGTCAGAGATTTTGGAATTTCTTGTCTTTAAAAAGTTACCAATAAAGTAAAAGGACATTGCTTTAATAGCTGACTCTAGCAATCTATGCTTGTGGTTGCACATTAAAATAGTTAAGCATTAGCTGCACATCTACCAACTACAACAGTACAATACTGTTAATGTATAATATTATACATTAACAGTCAACAGTCACACTGTCTGTTTGTCTCCATCCTGCATTGACTGCTTTTGTTTGTGTTACTTTTAGTGCATAATTTGTTGATAATATTTTGCTCTTTTGTATATTTAGACAGTTGTTTCTTGTCAATGAAATGATGTGTGTGCAGATTTGCGGAGATGTGAGGAGCGAGGAGAGTTGCTGCTGCCGGCTCTGTTCTGCCTGCTGGTCGTCCTGTCGGTGCTGTTGTACTTTGCAGTTTCGTTAATGGATCCTGGCTTCGTTCTCACTGACACCGTCAAAGTAAGATCAATGAACAACACCCAGGTCACAACGGCATGACACATACAGACTAGGGATCGACCTGTTATTGGTGTTGTTATCTATTGCTAAGCGATTACCGAAAAATACATTAAATGTGTTACTTTGGTTCTGATACAGCTGGCTCTCACTCTGCCATCACTGTGTGGTTTCAGCAATGTCCCGCCCACAGCTGTGTCTGATTGGTTACGTTTTACGAGTAACAGCCAATCAGTGATAGTTGTTGTTTACACAGAGAGACAGATGCGCACATTTGCAGAGCAAAGCAGCTGAGGCTTAATTATTGGGGCTGTGTTTAGAAGGTGAGGTAGTAGATGTTGTTGAAATTGTAATAAACACCGCAGACTACCACATCCATGTCCAGTTTCTCTGTTACCCTGAAAATGCCTGAATAATTGACTTGTTGGTGTCAGTGCAGCTGGAACACTTTTTGCTAATCGTGCAAGGCTAAGGCTATCCCTAAGAGATTTGCTGTGCCTCTTAGCTTGTGGCTAATGCTACCTGGAGCACCAAAACAGCATTCTGAATTCAGATTATCTTCAACACTGCAAAAAACTACACAAGGCGCTCAAACATCTCCACAAATCAGAACATCAGCTGCTTTCACAGTGGCTACGACTACGCTAGCGGCTAGCAGCTAAGTTAGGAGGCAGCCACAGATTACCCTGAAACAGTGTCTGGAGAGCAAAAGGAAATAATGTTTTTAGATCTGAGCCTTAGTGAGCAATGGAAGTGACATAACATGAAAGATTAAGAAAACAGAGAAGAACAGCAGGAGACAAACTGATCAATCTCAATCAATCGATCTCAGTAAACACTGTCACGTGACTCAAAAATCATCGCTCCTGTTTCTGTTTTACATATTCAGTTACAGTGATTCTTATTAAAGAAGCAACACAATTATGAATGACGAGTTTCCTGCTATCACATGTTTTTAATGTATACTGTTCATTGTGGATTAATTGGTTAAAAAAACACATTATTGTGGTGGAAAACTTTGCGTAAAGCGCTGAAATAATCAAAGAGAAAACAGCTTTTTCGACTCCTTTTTCTTGTTTAATAAAGTAGAGCAAACTTCAGACATGAAGTGAATTAACAAGACAAGTGATACCAGATGATACACATTTCTCGCAGTTTCTGCATTTTACACAGCGTGAGCAGGGCGTCTGCAACTCGTGTGGGCTGAGCAGAAATGTAGCAGCCGCAAACTGACTTTCAAAAGTTTCTGCTAGAATAACAGAGTGACAACTGAAACTAGATGAAGTGTGCATCATCAGAAACCTCATTGTCATGTGTCTCAGTGGAAAAAAATACAATTAAAGGTCCAGTAAGGTCATGATACATTCTTACAGACTTGAGACTTCATCTTATCCTACGTGTCCAGTCATTTGAAGGTGATTTAGTCAGATGTTAATGGTGGCCAGTCGCCCCCTGCAGCATAGAAACCAAAGTTAAACCTAAACCGAACTGTACAAAATGGTCAGAAATGATTGACGGCATATTTGTGAGTCAGAACACGGACTGAAACGTGTCATATCATGTATCATGTGTACAGTCCATCAGAGTAGAAGGTCTTAATGTGTGTGTGTGTGTGTGTGTTGTGTGTACACGTGTGACCCACATACGTCTTTGTGACGCAGGGCGTTCAGGGTTCGAATGAAGAAATGGAGTCCATGATTCCTCAGTCGTCGACCCCCCGGCTGCGGCGCTGTGGATACTGTCTGCTGCAGGTAACCAGCTGCTGCCAGCTGCAGCTCCTTCATCCACATGTGAATTCTGACACGTGCTTGTCATGAACACGTATTCTCGTGTGTTCGTCACGGATTTGCATCAGGTTTTACTGTGTTTGCCGTCCAGCACAAACTGGATTTTGTTTTCTTCTCGCTGTTAAAACCAGTGAGTTTGAGTTTTCTCCTGCTGTGTTTCCATTTTAATTAGATTTTTAAAAACATATATTTTTACAGTCTTGTGACAGTGATGCACTTTTTACAACCAGACAACGTGTGCTTGAACAGCTTGTCACCCTGTTGCGAAATGATTTAGATCAGAGCGATAGAATCAGGCTGTATGTCGACACACTCCTGCTCCTTTCTTCCCACGCGTTCACAAAATGTAGATCACTTCTTGTTTATGTGGTATTTTATATGAAGGTCAGCCACATCTTGTGGTATTCAGAGTAAAAGTAGCCTCTGTCAACGTCTCAGAGTGTCTGCACGTCTTCAAAACTCCTTTTTCTTTTAAAAATATTCTAATTTATAAACACATGTCAGAAGGCCTTGAGGTTTACTTTAGTTTATTTGAGTTTTAATTGTCTTTAAATGCTCTTTTAAGGCAATTAAGTAGGGATTTCTTTTATAACGCAACCTAATGTTGACTTTTCAACATACTAATGGAAGAAATAAAAAACAGTTCAAAGGGGAGATTATAACTTAAATAAAATCAGGGAAGGCTCTCTGATGAAAGCGTGGTCAAAGAAGCAACAGAAAATAAATCGCTAACACGTCAGAAAACTGTGACAAGCTTCCGTCATGGCATCCTGGAATCTAAGCTGACGTCCTCGAAAGTTTCATGTGGTGCATCACAACAGTCCAAACCCTTGAAATGTAACATTTACTGTCAGGTAAGACCAAGAAAAAGCAACAGATTCTCTCATTTATTACCTCAGATTGATAAAAACGCTACACGGTGCAGGAAATTCAGCAGCGCTAAACAGTTACAATGTCACTGGAGGAAATAAAACACAGTTCAAAGGAAATTAAAACGTCAGATAAAATCAGAAAAGGCTCTTGAGCAAATAATTAACAATGAAACTATCCATTCGTTGCCACCCTAGCAACTATGTAGCACTTTATCACAGTGGGTAGGGGAAAATATTAACTAAAACTTAAATGTACTAGAATTCCCAGTTTTTGACTTGTTGATTCGTCCAGACGTGTTCTGTTGCTTAGCTTGGTCCAGGCTGTGCTCATTAAATGACTTCTGTTAATGTTGATTAGTGCTTACATCACAGCATCCTGGAATCTAAGATGGCGTCCTTTTGTCCATCCAACTGTCCAAATCTGTAAAATCTAATGCTTACAGTCACGTAAGACAGGGAGAAGCAACAGATTCTCTCATTTTGGTTTTTTTTTTTAAACATTTCGACTGATTTGATGATAAAAGTAGTTGCAGATTAATGTACTGTTGATCAAATAATCGATGCAGATCTGTTGGGGTTTAAATCCTCTAACTTTGTTATTTAAAAGGTCTTTTTGTGTCTTTGTGTGCTTGGAGCAGCAGCCAATGAGAGCGAAGCACTGCCAGACGTGCAAACGCTGCGTCCGGCGCTTCGACCACCACTGTCCGTGGATCGAGAACTGTGTCGGCGAACGGAACCACCGCTGGTTCATCGTCTACCTGCTGGTGCAGCTGCTCGCTCTGCTGTGGGCGCTTCACATCGCCCTGTACGTCCTCCGCACACCTCCACACGTACACACCTCTGGCTTTAGCGCCACAGCTCTCCTTATCTGCGTTTGTGGCCTTCCAGCAGTAATGAGTCAGTATATAGTTATCAGCTGTACTCTGTTCTGCTGGTTTATCTCTGCAGCATCGGGCTGAATTAGGTAACTCCAGAGTTTTGGAGAACAACGCCGGTGAATTGGTTGTTTTTCGTTGTGTAAGAATGAGCTTTATTGTGTTGCTTAAGTGTACTGTCAAAGTTCAAGGGGTCCTCCTCACAGAATCAGTTGTGCCGCCGTCAGCTGTAAATCAGAGGTTTAGGTAACGATTCATTTCTTCGTAGTTCAACCTCACGGAGTTGAGCTGAAGATCGACAGCTTGTTGCGACGTAGTCTAAATTCAGTGAAGGCCACACAAAGAGACAGAAGAAGTGGGCAAACAAACAACTTTCAAAGCAACGCTGCAAGTGTAAAAGCTTAAAAACAAAACAGCAAAAAGAGACGTCGTGTGTTTGGGGCACGTTGAAGTTTGCAGCAGCATTTTTGAGATTAAAGCTCAGTTTGCATGACGCAGTGCAGGCTGCAAGAAAGTCATTCATCCTGTGATATCAGGCGTTTCTGAAAGATCAACATCTCCAGTTTGGTGAAAGGAGCTAAAATGAGTGTTGGACACATGACTGAAAAACCCTGTTTGTATACAATCTTACCACTTTTCATGAAATAGTTTGAAACACTATGAGTTAGAAAACTAGCATTTTTCTTGTAGCCCACTAACAATATTAGATAAAGTCTTCCAGTTGGGACACTGTTGGAGTGGTTTCATCTGTCGTACCTGCTCAATGCTTGGTCAAATATTTGCCACAAATGCAAGAAAACGCCATTTTAATAATTGTTTTCTCATAAAGTCTGCCTCTGACTGGTACCACACTCAATCAGCCTCTTAGGGAGAAAAGTAAAGGAATAAAATTGTCTTTTTTTTTTTTTTTAAACCAAATTTGTGGCTCTTAAGAGCACAAAACAGAAAAGACGTCTCTCACCATCTTACTTGACTAAATCCACAGTCGATCCAAGCCCAATTTAAATAATTTATACCTGAGCTTGGACAGAAGTGTTTGATTGGTGGTCGTAGGTCTCGTCTTACCTGCCAGTCAGCACTCAGGGCAGCAACAGACCCAATAAAGAGAAACCAGTGATGCTGTTTTTATAAAGTTGTTGTGATTCTTTAACTCCTTTGTTGTCGTTTCAGCTCGGGCATTTCCACCAGCATCACCTGGGAGCTGTGGTTCAGGGCGAATGGGTTCCTGCTGGCAGCACTGGCCGTGGTCGCCATTTTCTCCGTGGTGGTGGTGCTGCTGCTGGGCTGCCACCTCTACCTGGTCTCCATCAACTCCACCACCTGGGAGTTCATGTCGCGCCACCGGATCTCGTACCTGAAGAGCTTCAAGGATGAGGAGAACCCGTTCGACCGCGGTGTCTTCTGCAACCTGTGGGATTTCTTCTGCATCTGCAGGACGGTGGTTTGGGAGCAGGTGTACCAGAGGAACAGCCCGAACCCTGTCTGACCTTAGAACCTTGGTTTTTTTTTTCATTTTAACATCCACTTTGGGCCAAATAGTGGTGGAAACGTGGCTGATAGTGGAGCAACCAAACACTGATGCACCTGAGTTTACATGTTTGTGATTTAGGAATCAAAACCAAGCTCAGCAAAAAAAAAGTATTTTGTTCATTTTAGACCTGGGAATTTTTGTATTTTCACCCTTCTGTTATTTTCCTTTACCTGGAAAGCCATTTTAAGGGTTCCAAATCTCCAGACATAGAGTGCCTATGAAGAGTATTCACCCTCTTTTGGAAGTTTTCCCCTTGTTTTGCGATTCAGAACTAAATTACTCCTTCATGTCAAAGTGATGAACAAGTTTCTACAAAGTAATGTCAATTAATGAAAAACACAAAACCTAAAACAAATGATTGAATAAGTAAAGAAGCATCCCCACATCATGATGCTGCCACCTCCATGCTTCACATCATGATGCTGCCACCACCATGCTTCACATCAGGATGCTGCCACCACCATGCTTCACATCATGATGCTGCCACCACCGTGCTTCACATCATGATGCTGCCACCACCTTGCTTCACATCATGATGCTGCCACCACCATGCTTCACGGTGGGGATGCCGTGTTTGTTTGGTGTCCACAAAACATCACGTCTAGTCTGATGGTCAAAAAGCTACATTTTGGTCTCCTCAGACTAAAGAACCTTCTTCCAGGTGACTTCAGAGTCTCCACATGTCTTCTGGTGAACTCTAGTCCAGATTTGATATCAGCTTTTTCCAACAGAGTCTTTCTCTTTGTCTCCCTTAAAGCTATTATTGGTGAAGACCGGACAACAGTTGTTGTATGAACAGAGGAGTCAGTCTCCTTCTTGTAACTCCTTCAGAGGAGTCATAGGTGTCTCGGTGGCCTCCTTCACTAGTCTCCTTCTTGTAACTCCTTCAGAGGAGTCATAGGTGTCTTGGTGGCCTCCCTTCACTCGACCTGCTCTAGTCAGATTTACACGTGTCACATTCCTTACATTTCTTAATGAAGGGTTGAACTGTACTTCAGTGGTTTTAAAGGGACTTGGAATTGTTCTTGCATCATCCCCTGACTGAGGCGTTTCAGCGACCTTTTCACAGAGTTGTTTGTTGTGTTCTTTAGTCTCCAAGGTGTCGTTGTACTCAGGAGTAGTGATTCAGAGGTGACTGGACCTTCCACATACAGGTGTTTTCAGACTACAGTCCCAGAGACACATTTACTGAACTCACATGACTTAACTAAGTGTGTGACTTGTAGCACCGACTGGCTGCACCTGACTCGAATTAGGTGAGTCACTGGATTCACGCCCTCTTCAGTGACTCACTGCATTTTTTAAATGCACTTATTCTACATTTTATATTTTTAATTAACCAACTTTACTTTGTAGAAATCTGAGTTCACTTTGACACGAAAGAGTCTTTTATTGGGGTAAGTTTTTGTCAAAAAAGCCAAATCAAATTCACTATAATTCAAAGTTTTGAAGCAATAAAAGGAGAAAACCTCAGAGGTGAGTGACAACTTTACATGTCTGCTGAACCTGCAGCAGCCATGAACACAGATAAACACTACACTGTCTGCAGTGACAGACTGACCCACAGATAAGATGTGATGTTCGTGTTTGTGCACCACTTCGGCCCAGAAATATGTCAACATGCACCAGATGGATTGGAACAAGCATTTGATGAGTCTAGTGTTCCTCTAGCGCCACCTAGAGGTTCACATTTAAGGTATTCAGTGAGGAGTAGCAGCACAGATATTTATGTCGCTCTCAGGATGAATGTGAACATTTTTGTGATGCTCCCTTTACTTTACCGCCAGGGTTAGGATCCTGCAAAAAACTACTGACGTCCCCATCAGCCTCAGCCAAGTGCTAATTAGCAAACTGTAGTATTTTCAACAAATATATAAACATACCTGCTAAACATCAGGTTGATCCAAGTTTACATTTTACATTTCTCTGAGAGCACAAATGCCACTAGTTGTGATTTAAACCCTAAAAAGTCGTCTCTGTGTGTACAAGTTAAAGATGTAGGAGTGTTTCGTGATTCCGTTTTTTAAGTTATGTATAAAACCTCAGGAGTCTGAATCTGTTTTCGCAAGTACATGGAACCAATTGATTTTTTTCCACTCGTGACATGTCTTTCGGGGTATAGGATATACCATATGGACATTTTAACAAGGTAAAAATGTTTTTTTTTTTCCCCCTGTATTTAGGAAAGTTTTCAAACATGTGATGCACAACAACTTGCCCCAGTGGTTTTCAGGCTCACATAAAAAACAGTTGGTGGAGTTGTTTTTTTTAAAGCCTAAAAATAGTTTTTGCATGTAAGGAATCAGGGTTTTTCCTGCTCAGAAATCTACACATTTTCTTAAATTAAATTAAACCACAATTAAAATGGGTTTAGGAATTTTTTTCTTCTTCTTCTTCTTTGCTGGCCAAAATCTAAAAATAAAAAATCATCTGTGCAGGAAAAACCCTCAGAATAAGTTCTAAAAAAAGAACAACTAACATGAGTTTGGTGGTAAATCCTCCCTTCTGTGTTTCCTAAATATTTAATTCACCTCTCTGGAATAAGAGCTGCCCACAAAACCAAACTCTTAACACTCATGTGGTGATAGTTTTGTCATTTTCTTTTAAAAATCTGTATTTTCAGGTTGTTTTGTTCAATTTTAAAGCCCCCTGTCTGATTGAAGCACTGTTTTTTACTCAGGTTTGTTGATGTTTGTTGATTTTGAACCCACATGTTAACATTTGAACACCAACTGCCTTTAAATGCGTTGACGTGTTGTGCCTTCGGTTTTCCTGTACGCTGATGTCGGTGATTATTTTTTTAAAATGTGACTGTGAGAGAGCCAAATATTTTACAAACTTTGTTTTTTTTTTTTTTTTAACTGTATATGTTCTGTTTTGTATTTATTGACAACAAGAGTACATTAAAACACGTATGATATGCATGTTGTTATAGAGTAAGTACACCTGTACACGCCCACATTCCTCGTCAGATACAGACATTTATACATACAGTACTGACACAGAAGTAACACGTAATATTCAGCAGCGTCAACTTAAAGTGCTACAACGGCTGAACCGGCTGACCGGTTCGTCGGAAGGTTCAGTCGGTCAGCCGGTGTCTTTGCTCGGGGACACTTCAGCTGCGACGATTTGGCCTCTTGGGAGATTTTCAGTGGTGGGACATCAGTTCTGTTGGTTTAAAGAGCAACTTAACACCCTGTTACAACCTAAATAAGCCACTTTTACGCTTTAGAAATGACAATATAACTGAGCAGGCATTGAAAGTCCTAGAAGATGTCATTTGAGAGCACTCGGGTGCAGATTTCTAAGAGAAAAATTTGTGTACATGATTATAAAGCATGTTTTTGAGCCCAACAGGTGACTTATTTAAACATCTTAAGAAAGCAGCGTGGCTCCTCTTGCTCTTTCTCAGATTTCTGGACCACCAATGTGAGCACATTCATCAGCATCGGCATTTAATTTGCAAATATAAAACCTTCGTGGAATAAATATCGATAATACAAACAGTAACAGGTTGAAGACATCCGATATTTAAAGACATTTTTTAACTAAATGGTATCGGCAAGAACCTCATCCTGTTCCTTTAAATACGTCTGCTCTGTCACATGTAAATTTGAATCATTTACTTAATAAGTGCAGAAATATAAATTGATAATTGATTTGTTGATGATGTAAATTAAAGACACTTTTTATTGGTCATGAGTTGGTATGGGGTCACCAAAGCAACCATCACATGTGCCATCTTAAAGAATCTTGACTGCACATTGGAACTTTGCGCACATTAGCAGAATTTTGCACATGTGCGCTAGCCGGATGTCGCAAAGCGTCACACAAGGCTTTGTCATGGGGCCCCTTTACTAGCTGTACCCCGTCATGTTTTCCGCAACATGAAAATTCCCGCCTCCTCTGGTCGCAACAGCATCAAACGGTAAGATGCTCCACCTGGTGGTGCAACCAGGTACTACAGCTACTCTACAATACTTGATTTGTGTATTAGTATATAAAAGAACCGGTACATGACATTACCTTAAATCAAATACAGCTCGAGTGTCAAGTTACTCTTTAAAATCCTCTATTTCATTTTAATAGATGCTTGTAAACTCAGTCGCGAGTTTAGAAGCATCGATAAGAAGCTGCAAGGAAAAACTCCTTCATGGCCCTGACATCATTAGACCTCGGTTATCACAGAATATGATTGGCTAAATTCAAAATACAGATATTTTCTCACTATTATGGCTATATTAGATTATCTATGGCTTCTAGCGGTTACAGGATCTCTAGTGCACAAGTTCACCACGGTGCCATGCACGTCTACTGTCGGAACAGAACGCTGTTGGTCAGGACGACGCTGATGTGCGAATGAAACACTCAAATATATATATATATATATGTAGATAGATTTAACGTCTTTCTATAAAACAGAAACTGGGTTGTTTTGTTCCGTTGTTTTGGTCAAGGCAGTGGGCGAAGCCTGTCACAGTGATGCATAGAAACGGCAGCACGTACTGTCCCTCTGAACTTTAAAATAATATCTATGTATATAGAAGCAAAGGCCACGAAGCAAGCTGAGTCTGTAATGCACAGGACGCTTGAAGAGGACTTGTTATTGGCTATAAAGTGTATTTTGTATAGCATCATTTCATGTTTCAAACATAAACACGATTAAATCCATCTACAACATTTATGAGGTTAATTCATGTTGAGCCAAACTGAGTTAAACTAGATTACACCCAAATAAATAAAACTTTGAATTAATGCTTAAACTTCATGGAAAGTAGTTCCAATTCTAATTAAATATCTTTTTTTTCCAGTAATAAGCAAATCTGTTGTTCAAAGTCAGTGTCTTTGTGCTGAGTCAACATAATCTATTATTGTTGATTCAATTATTTCCAAAGGTTAGTTCTGACTTAATTTAACCGGGTTGGTCAAACTAGTTTTACAGGATTTAAAGTTAAACTATTAAATGAAGTTGATCCAACCCTAATAAATTACGCTGGATCACCAGAGTTGTTGCTTAATGCTGAAAGAAAGGTATTTATTTGTGAGGAAATTCTTCTTTGGTTATTAAAATGTCATTCAACGAGTTATTTTTTAGAGTGTACTAACAATCGATCAACAGATTATTGAGCCTCACCAATGAATGAATGTAATCCAGGTTTTGTTTGTTGCTTCCAGCTGTTCAGGAATCTTTCCTCTGAGTTTATTAAACACCTGCAGCATCAGACAGCAGCAGCATCCATATGAGCATCACCAAAAAGAGAAAGCTGTACACATTTATACCATTTAACTCCACTAATTTCTTCTAGTTATAAATTATCTCAGACATGGAGTCAGGATGGATCAGGACCTCACCTCAGACAGGTGAGCTGTACAAAATCTTACACTGTCATGCTGTACAAAATGTTTTGCACAGCTACTTCTTCTCCTGTTTGGTAAACCCCATACGTCACAAACTAAATGGAATCCTGAAATGAAACTGTGAGTAGGATTAAAGTTGTGGAAGGAAGACAATGCCAGAAACTCTTCAAGCGTCCTGCGTCCACCTGTCAAATTTGTTTGTACAACGTTTCATCAGACCAAAGCTCATAAATAACTCTAGTAGCAGGAGGAAGAGCTGAATTACTGCTGCAAAGATCGACTCTCCACAGAGATTATAAAGGGCTACAATCACTTTCTTTGCTCGAGTAGAAACAAAAAAGTCGCTGCCTGGTTATTTGATTGGCTGTTGAACAGTCAGGCGTTATTGACCACGAGACCGCAGGGTTTGAAAACGACTGAGCTGCAGAAGGTGGTCATTTAGTGGTTTTATGAAGACCAGGGTGGGAAACTTTCCTTTTAAGAGCTTCATGTCTCCAGAAGATAAAATGTTGGGGCTTTAAAATCCAAACCTCTTCTCACAACCCTTATTTCGGAAATGTCAGACTATTCCTTTAAGACATTGGTTGTTCGTTGATGCTTCTTTTTCAACAAACCAATACAGACAATAAACTATCAATAATTATGATGATTAATAGCAGTAAGGGTGCCAATATAAAAGTATTCACCACGATTGGAAGTGTTCTGCTTTCATTGTTTTTCAACTTGGACTCATGGTTTCGCTTTATTGACTTGAATTTCCAAAATAGGACTCCTCTGTCAAAGTGAAAACCTATTTCTAAAATTTAAGGTCACCTAATTAGAAATATACGAAACAAAATAGTGATTGCATTAGCTCTTTGTCTATGAGACGAGACGTTATGTTTTGTGGACACCAACAAGCATGGTGGAGACAACATCATGATGTGAAGCATGGTGGTGGCAGCGTCATGATGTGAAGCATGGTGGTGGTAGCGTCATGATGTGAAGCATGGTGGTGGCAGCATCATGATGTGAAGCATGGTGGTGGCAGCATCATGATGCTTCTCAGCAGCAGCCCTGGAACACTTGTAAAGGTAGAGGATAAATGAATGCAGCAAAGTCTGGAGAAATCCTGGAGGTCAACTTGATGCAGTCTGCAGGAGAACTGAGACTTGGAGAAGATTTGTTTTCCATCAAGACAATGAGTCGAAGCAAACAGCCAAAGCTCCACAGAAAGAGTTAAATGGTTTAAGACAACAAGGTGAATGTTCTGGAGTCCAGACCTCAATCCAACTGAGAATTTGCTGGATTTGGAAAGTTCTGTTCACTCATGATCCCTGTCAGACTTTGAACAGTTTTGCGGTGAAGAATGAGGTAAAGCTGCAGCGTCCAGATGTTCAGACTGATTGAGACCAACGGAACCAATGATGGAACTGCAGCATCTACTGAACACTGACTTGAGGGGGTGAATACTTACACAATCACTTACTTTACATGTTATACTTTTAAGTAATTGAAATTACTTTGTAGAGATCTACACTTTGACATGAAAGATAAAAGCTTCCAAAGGGGGTGAATACCTTTTATAGACACTGAACTAGAACAGCACTGGTCTAAAGGTTGAGATTGTAAAAAGTCCTCTCAATGTTCTTGCAATTTCAACTAAACAGCGTCGACTGATTGATAGAAATGTTGTTATCCAAAAAAAATACAAATAAACTGTCTGGTCACAGGAGTTATTTTGGTGGAGGGTGACCTTCCCATACGTATGATAACTCCCCACCCTGGTCCTCTCAGTTCATGTTTCACCCGTGCAAGGCGCAGAAGTCGAAGTCGGCGAAGGCCTCCTGCTGCTCGGCCGAGAGGATGAAGGGTTTGGAGGGCGGCGACAGGACCGGCTGCAGCCGAGTGAACTCGCTGTCGAAGTTGCTGACGTCGGTGGAGTCTCTGATGGACGGCAGGAACGGCGGCTTCACTTTCTTGGCCAGCAGGGCTTCAAAGTCGATCGTCTGCAAAGGAGTCGAGGTTACATGTGATGAACATGTCAATAACTTCTGCACTTTAATGTCATGTTGAGTAAAAAATGTTAATTAAAGTATCAGTATTCTGTCACTAAGTGATGTAGAAAAATGACCCAATGTGTTGATCAGAACTCTGGTGTGTATTTACTACACATCAGTACCTCATTGGGTTGAATCAGGAGTGGTGGACATGCAGAGGTTAAACCCACTGAACCCTAAAACCCACCAGCAGCTAAACTAACACCAACCAGCCGCGTTATTTTTTAAATTCGCTAAAATTGCATCATTTATCGAAAAACTGTAAAAACAGAAAAAAATCTGTAGGTTTTCAGATTTCAGACAGTCCTTTAAGGTGTCATGTGTGATGTGCTGTTCCATCAGGAAAATTAACCAAAATCAAAGTTTAAAATCGCAATATTTCATCAAAAGTAAGTTATTCTGCATGTCTCGTATTTAAAACATGGTTAAGGATAAACCCTTTGGAACAGTTTCTATGAAAAACAGTGACTGAGCTGAAACCAACAATCTTCTGATAAAGAAAGAGAGCTTCACGGATGAACTGCAGGCAGTGTTTCAGCAGAGCAGAGAGGAAACGACGAGAGACTGAGGTGATGATAAGACAACCTGACTCAACAGATAAATGCAGCATGGCTCAGAACCAGTGAACAGAGGAGCCTGTAGTTGGAGATACATCCAGCTGATGGTGGAACATCTTTCTACTGCTGATGAGCAGAGCAGAGAGGAAACATCTGGAGACATGGAGATAGTTCAACATCTGTACTATGTCGAGTCACCATTTACACAAATGTGGACCCTTCAAAGATGTCGTCCATGATGACATCTCCCTCCTTCTAGTCCTGGCTGTGCTGCTTCTGTAGAAGTTCAGGACTTTATATAGTAGAGAACGATCATCCTACGTGCGAAAATTTGGGGCTCAGAGGGTTTAAAGCTAAACATTCCTTCATAGAGCAGATGATGTGAAAGAAAAGTGCTTTACCTCATAGAACTTCTCTCCTTTGACCTCGTTGGCGTCTCTTTCTCCAGCTCCGAGCCTCTTCAGAGGATTCTTCTTCAGCAGCTGGAAACAGACGACGGTTGTTGGTTTTCAGTTTGATTTTTTAGTTTTTTTGGCTTCAAAGGTACGTGCAGCATTTATTACATTATCTTCTACTTAAAGTCACCATCAGCTGTCACAGTTCCATCAGGATAGCCTGCACATACCTCTGAGTTTCTATATTCTATTTTAGATTTGTAGATTTTTCAAAGGTAACGTTTATATTATGTGAGGCGTAAATATTTCGTATTCCACTTTGGACTTGTTTGGCCTGAACATTTACTTCTATTTAAAAGTTCTGCCTTCTAGCTTAAAGCATGAAAGAAACTTGACAGAAGTGTTTAAACAAGACGACTCAGAGCCCACGTAGTGAGGTGTGATCGAAAAGTTCCAACACTGTCTGTGTAAAAACAGAACATTTTAAAAAGTAAAAAGTAGAAACAATAAAAGTCTGGCAACAAGAATGTCAGAAAAAGAAACTTTAAAAAAAAAATGGTGGAATACTGTAAAATTGCTGCAAATATCTGGAAAATAATGACATATGTTCTGCTGATTCAAGTACAACAAAACTGTAACTGTCTGGTCACACTCTGTCAAAGAACAAATTACGTTTCCGAATTTCCGACGTTGAAATTTAACAAAACATGTACATTAAATTGCTTTAAAAGTTACTGTTAAAATTTTTTACAGTGAACTCTGTGGTAATTAAAAGTGGATTTTTTTTCACCACAGCGACACAATTTTCATTCTCAATCTGCATAAATGTCCAGATTTATCTCCCTGCGACTTCTCCCTCTTCCCCAGAATGAAATCAAAGTTAAGAGGTTTCCATTTTTACACCATGTAGAACAGGGGTGTCGAATCCTGGTCCTGGAGGGCCACAATCCTGCATGTTTTAGATGTTTCCTTCTTCCAACACACCTGATTCAAATGATCAGCTCATCATCAAGCTCTGCAGAAGCCTGATAATGATCCTGATCATGTGAATCAGGTGTGTTGGAAAGAAGGAAACATCTAAAACATGCAGGATTGTGGCCCTCCAGGACCAGGATTCGACACCCCTGATTCGAGCACTGGGAGCAGAGCGTCGCTGCACCAGGAGGCGACGGAGCTGGGGAGCAAATTTAAATCTGCTTTGATTTTTATTTAATCTCAGAACTTTTCGATCACAACTTGTACAGTTTTTCAAAATCTACTTAAGGGGACATTCAACTTCACTTCTTCATGTTTCATTAAAAAAAGGCCACCTCACTAAGAAAAAGGCATCATGAGGGTTCAGTGTCTGTGCAGGTTTCTGGAGGTCTGAGGGACGAGGACAGGAGAACTTTACCCTCTGGATGATGGAGACGGCGCCTGGAGGAAGACATGGAGGATACTGGACGTCATCGTTGACGATGCTGTCGAACACTTCTTCTTCATCCTCGCCAGGAAACGGAGACTAGAGGAGGCCAGAGAGGACAGGTTTAACTCTGGATGTGGTGGGGTCAGAAATGTACGTAATGATTCTGTCTTTTTTTTTATCAATCCAGTTTTAATTATTTTATTGTTTTTAATCCGTCTGGTGTTTATGAGTTTATGATCACGTTTTAATTCTTTCTATCTCTTCCTGTATTTTACTCGTGGCTCGTTATCAGCTCGTCAGTCGTCTGTGCAGCACTTTGACCTGCAATAAGCTGCATTAGAGGCGCGACACAAACAGTTTCTGGCCAATTCGATGCGACAGAAAGGCGTCATTGAACTTTCAGCTCTTATTAACGAGACAGTTGATAAAGCAGAAGTCACTGGGGATGTTTTCTGAACTGCACGTAGCCGCAGGTCACAGTAGTACAAAACCAAACACGTAGAATGGTTTTAATGTGAAATACTTGGTCACGAAAATGAAAATAAAGTCATTTTTGAGCAGATATGACAAGTTGTGCCACAAAAACAAAAATACTGGAAGATAGTTTTGGAGTTTCAACATGATTCTCCAAATATAACTAATAAAATTATATATATATATATTGTCTTATGTAAGCATATTTTGCATTTTGGCACCCCTCGACAACTCACCCTTAATCCCAGATTATTTGATCTATTTGTCCAATATTTTAGATTCTGAATCAGTGACATGATGAGCAATAAAAATGAAAAATGAAGGCTTTTATCTTTAATATTTCTTAAGATTTTGTTGTTGAAACAGCCTCAAATTTCAATATCAGAAAAAACAACCTGCTGAAAGTGTGTTGACGGATAAAAGAACTAAGAAATTTCAGGAAAAAATTCATATAATAATATCAAATTTGACAGATTGGCTCTTACGTATCCATTTTTTGTGATTTTAAAATAAAAGTTTTCTCCAAATCAGAGACGTTCAGGCAGAAATTGTTCTAAAAATGTGATGATTTGAGATGTTTTAACTCATACGGTGTGAATTTACTTGAGTAATGTAAGTATTAAGAAATAAAACCTGACAAAGGATTATATAAAAGACAACTTTAGCTGATTATATTTTTTTGGGCTATGACCCGACAGTGTTGGTTCTTATGGAGATCAACCAGATTCATTTACAGCAAACCAAACAAGATTCAGGAGCAACCTTTGTGTTTCATCATTATATTTGTGGTTTCAGGGTTTATAAGTTAGTTTCTTGTCGTTCAGAGCTGTGAACGTGGACAGAAAGCGTTCAGTGTTTGTTCCCGACCTCTCCGACCAGCATCTCGTAGATGAGGACCCCCATCCCCCACCAGTCCACGGCTCGGGTGTAGTTGTCGTCCGTCAGAACCTCCGGGGCCAGAAACTCCGGAGTCCCACAGAAAGTGGAGGTCCGATCACCGTGGCCCATCCCTGCCGAGATAAAACGCAGCTCAGATCCGCTCGCCAAGAGGTCTGAGTGGGTTTAAATCGATAATCAGGAGGAAATAAAGCCTCCGTGTGGTGGTGAAAACAACAAGCGTGATGCTAAAGATAACCTCACCATGAATCTGTCAGGAGTAAGTGAAGCAATAAAGACAGACAGAACTTTACTTGGGTGTATTTGGTGCAGAAATCTGTTACCTTCTTTACAGAGTCCAAAGTCTGTGATCTTCACAAACCCGTCTGCATCCATTAAGAGGTTGTCGAGCTTCAGATCTCTGAATAAAACACAGTTAAACTAATAAATTACCGCAAAGAAATACTGTTGAATTCTAACAGCAGAGTTCAGTTTGTCCATCACACAGTTAAAAACTGTCAAACCTGGCACAAGACGACAGGAAATAGAATAACTGTCCCAAAGAGCAAACCAGACTTCACAAACAGGATACAGAAGTGCAACCGTGAGACACAAGATGACACAAACTAAACCCAGAATGACAGAAATGAGACACAAATCGACAAAAGAAAAACTTGACAGACCAACAAAAAATGTTTGACGAAATGACACGAGTGAGACACAAAAGAAAAATGAGTCGCAGAATGAAAATAAAGAAACACAAAATCACACAAATGAAACATAAAATGGCAAACATTTGAAAACCAGACAAATTTTTTTAAAAAACTAAACAGAATAACAGAAAAATTGACAGAGCAACACAGACAAGATATAAAATGACATTAACTACGAAAAATGACACAGCATGACAAAAAACAGGACACAAAACGACAGAAAGGAGACAAAACTGTCCCAGAGAGACACGAAGGAACACAAAGAGACACAAAACAACACAAATGAGACACGTAATCTCATAAAGAAAACACAAAATGACAAAAAAATGAGACACAACATGACAGAAACAACAGAAAAGAGAAAACAACTGTTAGAAAAAGACAGTAAATAACTTACAAAGCAACACATGAGAGACGT